ACACAGCGCTGCGCACCGTACAGCCCCGGGCCGGTTTGAAATAAGCATTTTAAAATGTTTTCAAAATAAGTCTGGCACTTTGGAGAAAACCCAGGACTCGAATGTGTACCTCCTCTGGTCTGGGAACGTCTCAGAGTCCCCCAGGACGAGCTGGAACGTCACAGAGGTCTGGACCACTCCTGAATTTGTTCGTATCTGAAAAAAATCTTAGAATATGAAAACATTGGTGAATGCCACAAATTCTCCTAAATCACTCGTACGCACAACTTAAGAACAAATCTGTGTGTACGAACGGTTCTTGCATGAGGCCCAATAAAGGCAATTTCTATTCTATTCTAAAACTGAATACAGAGGAAACGTGACTAATCTCTATCCTTCATCACAACCATAAAGACCTGAAGAGTCCACAAAGCTAGCATGAGCAAAACCGAAGTATTAAATGCAGTTTGTAATTTCACTGTTAACACAACAGCTGTATGTAGTTGCATTTTAAAACGATTAAAACTGGCCTGTTGTAATGGAAATGATGTATTAGTTCATTCATCACAAGTCATATCCTCATTGCAACATTGCTCTGTTATTTCACATCGCAGGTTTTCGTGACGTTGTGCAGCCCTCGTCTGTCCCCTTTCATTAAATAGATATGTGTCCTGCTGTTAATCCTGCTAGCTGCGGCTCTTTAGTTTCGTTCATTTTCACCGGCCTCATGGATCAATGTGGAGCAGGGTCTGTTTCCACTCTGAGGAGACTCTGAGTTGTTTCTTTATTTCCAGGAAGGAAGAGAAGTGGAGCGCTTTTAAAGCAAATTAGATTTAAGCACAATAAAATTATGACAACATAATATGGGTTTAGCCTGGGTTACACCCTTGACCCTGAAAGATTTTAGAACCAGGAGTAAAGATGCAGGGTGTCGTCTCAGTTTCATCCTGGCGAAAGTTCATCCTGCAGCTTGTCTGCTGAATGTGCAAATCACATTGCAGCCGCCACCCCCACCAAACCAAACACATTCTCAACCGTCCCACCATCCATCACCAGGAGAGCGTCACATTACATTTATAATGATGAAAGGGCAGCTTTTTTATCCCAAAACCTTCCCCTCAAATATGCTTTCTGACTCATTCTACCGGCTTTAGACGTCATCCGTCACCACTCACCAAATGAAGGAGCTGTGTGGTAATCAGGATTGAGTTTTTTTTCTCCCTCTCTCGTAAAGTATTGTGCGTCTGAGACGGGGGTGGAAGTGGCGTGACGGAGGGCAACCTAAAGCCCAAATTTATGTGAATTTGCCAAAAATGAAGACAGCAGCCAGAGACAAAAGAGAGGGCGTGTCTGGGCTGGGGCTAGAGAATAAAGAGAGGGAGGATGAAAATTGATTTGTTTGGGGGAGGGGATGAGAAAGAAAGGGAGAGAGGATGGTGGGGGTGAAGTTGAAAATTAAGATGACTGAATAATTTAGACAAGGAGCAAAGATGTTTATAGTTCTGTAAGCATGTTTATAGTCTGACAAACACTTTATTACTTTTCCTGTTTCTGCATGTATACGCACCCCGCGTGGTCTGATTTCATAAAAAGTAATGAAATCTTTTTGAAAATTAATTATTCTGACTTGATTTGGCTGTTTTGAGTTGCTGTCTGTGTGCAGATGTGGTTTGTAAAGTGAAACGTAAAGTTTAATGCTGTTAAACGGTCGTGAGTTTCGCTGTGTCAGTTTGTTTTTAACCCTTCTTATGAAACATCAATCCTTCCTGTTTTTTCCTGGAGTTCATGTTGACGCTAGAATCTAATCTGTTCAGAATATGGGCCAACACGAGACGCAAACAACCGTCTATATTAGGGTTAACCTTGAAGAGATAAAGATGTCAGCCTGAGGTTGAATGATGTTTGAAAACCCTGAGCTGGACTGTTAAAGCTGCCAAAACTTAAACAAACCTGTATTATTTTCACTCTTACACATTTAAACTCTTAAATTTGCAGATTAAAATATTACAACTTTACAATTATTTTTCTTTATTTCATTTAAACAAAACAAAGTTCAACATAACACAAACACAATATCATTAAAATGAAAATGAAAAGGAGCAGAAAGAAGAAAACAATCTTGTAACATCTGCCCCATTTAACAAGAAAATATACATTACATACACCCCTACGAACATATACATAAAGAATTCATACGCTAACAATCAGCAGAAAGAAGAGAAAAAGATAAATAAATAAAAAATATTTACAATTATTCAAACAGCAACTTATATGAATGCTTATTATATGTTTTCATATTTTGTCAACAAGTCAGATTTTACCAATATTCCAAATAACTTAATAGAACCGGCATTTTTATAATCGCTATCAAGTTGTTCCAAAACTTTATTCCTTGAACCATCTTTCTCGCTCTCAAATTAATTTGAATTTTAAGTTTAACAAACATTTCAAATCTTTTGAGGTTATAAGTACTTTCCTTCTTAATGAAATAGGATTGAGTATTTAAAGGTAATGCATTTTACATAATCAGCAAAATCCTATAATCAACCAACTCATAAAATTTTAATAACTTCAACTGTTGAAACAATATATTCGATATTACCATTACTGCTTAAAAAACTTGTTCAGTGACTCTGAAAATCTCTAGTTTCTAAAAAAAATAAATGGCTGTTCTTTTTGATTTTCTGTTGCAGGAAACAAATCTGACAACAGATACAACCATCCTATTAGAGATTTTAAATTAAATGTCTTTTTTAAGAAATAAGACGAGATGAGATAAAACTATTGATCCCACAATGGGGAAATTTGCACATTACTGCAGCTCAGAACAGGAAGAGACTGAAATAAAAAAGAATAAAAAGAAAACCCTGTATGCATAAAATATATAACAATGCACGTACATCAACCCACTACAGAAATTCAAGACATCTCGGTGTATTTCTGTGAGGAATATATTTGTAAATGAAATAAAAGTTACAAAAACTAAAGGTCACAGCACCAATCTCCTGAACATTTTGATTTGTGAACAATTGAAAAAAAGAAAGTGTCTAGAAGTAGATTGATTGCAAATGTTGAACAGAAAAATAAGAGGAAAACCATGTGCTTTATGCTGAATCAGCAATGAAACCAAAGAATAAAGAAAAAAGCTTAACGAGACGTAAAAGTTACGTTTTGTAGCAGCTGATTATGATGATTTTTATTATATCGACTCATAATTAGGTGTTTGATTACTGTGGAGACAGATTCATGCACACCTTAGACTAAAACAATAAAAATAAATAACTTTTTACTCTATTTTATGTTTCGAAATGATGGGAGTTTGTACGATTCTGAATTTCATATTTTTACAGTCTTTCATCTCGCATCACAGAAACAATAAACAGTGTTTACACTTGACTGACTTTTTGTTTTGTTTGTTTGTGTGTCTCCTCAGCATACCTCCCTGTCAACCAGCCGCTCAGAGAAAGGTACGGGCTGGTCGAGCCGCTCGCTCGGCGCCCGATGTCGAAACTCCATCGCCTTGTGCTCCGACGAGCAGCCACACATCGGGAACTACCGACTACTTAAAACCATTGGCAAGGGCAACTTCGCCAAAGTCAAGCTGGCTCGGCACATTTTAACCGGCAGAGAGGTAAACTGAAAAAAACAAAGTGAAATCCTAAAAAGTTGGAGCAATAAAACCTAAAAGTTGTTCTCATTTGGAACATTTTTATTCTGGAATCAAATAAGTTTAAAATGAAATCCTGGGGTAACTTCCAGGATTTTTGGACCTGGAGCAAAGTAGAACCCTGCAGCAGCTTTAAGGGTTTGAATCAGTCGAGTGTTTTCTTCATGCAGGTTTTAGTTTTATTCTGTTTCAACACTTGTCGGCTTTCTTCTCGTAAAACTCCTGACCTACATTAGTGAAGCCGATATCTCCATGCTCAGGAAGCGTTAAGTGTCATCATCATGTGAAAGCTGCAGTAATAAAACACATATCCAGGTTTTACATTCAGTCTTTGACCTGTTGAGGTTTATGTAGCACATTTTACCTTCTGTCATTTAAATATTATAAAACGATCAGATTGGACTTTGTGCTCACTTTGTTGTGTTTTGCTTCATGTTGCACTGATGTAGCAGCATCCAGTAAAAGAACAGTTACAGAGGGAGTTTTTCCAGGGTTTCCCAGGATCCTTAAAAAACCTTAAAGGCATTGAATTCATCAATCTAATAAGGCCTTAATTAGCCTTAAAACATCTTAAAAATGTTAACATTGTAACAGAATGATTGTAATCAGTCTCAAATATTAATATAATTGGTAACATTTATTTATCTTTTTAAATAATTTACCAGATGCTTGTTGCAGCTCGTTTTGTGTTAATTCAAAATATGCTTTTCAGGATTTATTAAATGATTATTCTCATTCCTTTTTTCCCTTTTTCCAGGTTGCGATTAAGATCATCGATAAAACACAACTTAATCCAACCAGCCTACAGAAGGTGAGTCAAACTTTACTGTGCTGTTTGATTTATATTCAACTTACAAGGTCACTTTTTTATATTAGTCACACAAATCAGTCATTTTGTAGTTTTAGGTTTTTCTTTTTTTGTTTGTTTATCTAAAGGTTGGAACAGAATAATCTTTGACTCAATCTGATTATTTAGTTTTTTTAATCTGCAGGATTAGTTTTTCAGGTTTGTTCATCTTTGTGTTGAACTAGAGGCAGTCTTTGAGCACAGTTGTTTTTTGCAGCGGTTACTCCGACCTTTATTTTCACTTTTTTTGCATTTTCACTCAATTATTTAAACAGACTTGTCTATTGACTTTTCTTAGTTATGGTCTGTAGTACATTATAATAACTACACCTTATTTAGCCTTACTTAATCATTAATAAATAGTTAACCATGAAAACATCATTAATTAAGGATGATTTATACTTAATAAGCTAAAAATCAACACATTTATTAATGCTTTACCATAAAGGCTAACACATGTTGTGAAAGTACATTTTTATCAGCATGAGCATACGTATACACACAGTATATAGAATAGTTAATTCATGAGTTATTAAGCATGGATAAACAATGAGTATGTTGGTTTTGGATGTAATAGGCATTTTATATTGTGCTAATTTATATATGTATATAATATATATATGCGCTACCTGAAAGGGTAAAAAAAACCGTTGGGCTCAAAGACGAGCTAATTCAGTGTACAAATAAGGGTCAACATCAATACTGATTAAAACTTCTAACATCTGTTGTAAAGCTAATAGCCGTCAAATCTATATCAATAGATTTGACTGCTGTGTCTAATATAAAGTGTGAGGGTAAGGCTCAGGAACTATATTTTAAACCTGAACAATCAGCTGGTTATCTGCAGCAGTAAAGTCAGTCACCCTCAGCGCGCAGTTCTCATGGTTTAAATAAAAGATTCTTTGTTCTGAACAGCCCCGGTGACCAAACTTTGGCCTCGTCTGGTTTCTTTGAGTTTACTTTAACCGTCACCACAAAAACATTCCCACCACACACATCCCATTGATAAATTAATTATCTGCTGGTCAGGTCACCTGTTCAGGTCCGGTTGTGAGTCAGCTGATGGGAAACCATTTGATTCATGGAAATGGTGAGAATAATTGGTTCTGCTTGATAAATCGCCTGAAATACGAGCCAAACAACCATGCTAGTATTGTTTTTGGCTGTTAAAAAAGCAGAATAACTACAATTTTATATATGATTTCAAAAGAAAGTGTATGTTCTTTTTTATTGTCAGCAAGAGAATATGTAATAACTGTATATGTAGCCTTCTTCCACTCTGTGAAAGTGTATAATCTGTGTGAAAACGAAGCGTCTCCAGGTGTCACTGTGAGAAACAGAATGTGGTGAACAGCTCCATCCATCTAACAAAAAGGAGGTGTTGGTGTGCACTCAGGATGCAGTTTAGGCTGCTTTTTAATGCTGTGAAGTGCATTCTGTCCCTCGCCCAGGCCCCTTCAGCCAAGAGCTAAATTCCAGACGAGCAAACAAAAGAGGCGGTGGTGTCGGGACGGGGAGGTGGGGGCTGTTTTGGGGCACTGGCACAGGAGCGGGGACCCAAAGAAGACGCGACACAGAGGAGAAACAGGGACAACGGGCTCCTGTTTCCGTGTGTCTAGACCTGCACGGATGAAAACTCACAAATGCACTTGGTGCATCACACCCTCTGCTCTGCCTTTGTGTGATGCCATTATCTGCGTTGGTTCTTTAATTTAGTTTCTGCCGTGTGCTTTGTTGTTATTGTGCAGTCTTTACGGGAGTGATTGAACAACAAAAAGACGAGAACACGCAGAAAGTTTTCCCACAGGGCCCGTCTTCAAAGCATCGATCGTACAGTAAAAGAAAAAAGTTTGATGCTTTACGTTTGGCTCCACTTTTTAAATTTTGTAACTCCCTCTTTTGCTCCTGCGCTGGTTTGGTTACCATTTAGAAAAGTGGCTCTAATTGTCCTTTAATCAAGATTAATCTGGAGTTTTGTGATGTGGGTAACGATGGTATTCCAATGAGCTGTGATGATAATATATGACCCATCACATCAAACTGAGAATTGAGTCAAATTTGGTCAAATCATATTTTCAAATTCCTGATTTTTAAGCTGCATTTTGATCCCTGGATCACCCTGATATCATGAGCGGTTGTCTTCCTAATCAGGATAACTCAATGATATTTGGTCTGAATCCTATTTTTAGGTTGTTCTAATGAGGGTTTTTTGACATTTTTATAAGGAGGAAACTACAAACAATATTTGGATATTAAGATTTAGAAGAAAAAAATGCTTTGTTAGCTTGTGGGAGGAATAAAAAATAGGCTTTTCTGCTCCAAATCAATTTTTTTTTGTAACTGCTACTCAAAAGGCCTTAGAATTTTTGATTAAGATGATTTCATTTAAATGCCTTGTAGATAAGGTATTTATTCATTATATTTTGACAAAATACACTTGTTGCAAACATTTTAGCCAATGCACAGTAAAAGGTAACCAATAACTGAAGAGCTGTGCACATTTATACTCACTGGACTCAGAGCTCATTTAGTATTTAAACCCGTTAACAAACAGCCGTTCACAAACAGTGCCCTAATGTTGGAATACTTGTTCATCTCATCGTTGGTGTTTTGTCTTTGTGACCGACTTTCCTGAGTTTCTCAACTGGTTTCTTTTGCTGCGGCTTGTAAAATGAAGTGTGTTGAGTACTTTTGTGTATTTTGTGTCATGCAGTGGTAGTGTGAAGCAAGTGTTTATTTTTACAAGTCGTTAGATAAATTCAATTCAGTTTATTTATATAGCGCCAAGTCACAGCATACATTGTCTCAGGGCACTGTACATGAAAAAAAGAACAATGTAAAGAAGAAAGCAGCAGATTGTGTTGAATCACTTCATCACAGTCTCCCATCCTGAGCAAACGGTGGAGAGGAAAAACTCCCTGCTAATCAGGAAGAAACCTCCAGCAGAACCAGGCTCAGGACAGGAGACCATCTGCCTCGACCAGCTGGTTGAGGGACAGGAAAGAGACACAGACAAACACAGAAGAGCTGGTCCAGGACTGGTCCAGGTGCACCTTCTTCTGGAAAAAAGACAAAAAGAAAAAACATGTTGTTGATAGAAATAATTACAATAAACATGTAGAGAAGAGAGACTAAAGACAACAGCAGAGTGAGGAAATGTATAGCAGCAGAAATGAAGAATAATTCAGGAAACCTAAATAACTATAGGATTTATGAAAAAGGAAAGTCTTCAGTCTAATCTTAAAAGTAGACAGAGTGTCAGCCTCACAGACAGAAACTGGAAGTTGGTTCCACAAGAGAGGAGCTTGATAACTGAAAGCTCTGCCTCCCATTCTACTTTTAGAAACTCCAGGAACCACAAGTAAACCTGCAGTCTGAGAGTGAAGTGCTCTGTTAGGAAAGTATGGAACAATAAGATGTTTAATATATGATGGAGCTTGGTTGTTAAGAGCTTTGTATGTTAGGAGTAATATTTTAAATTCTATTCTGAATTTGACAGGGAGCCAGTGGAGAGAAGCTAAAACTGGAGAAATATGATCTCTCCTTCCAACTCTCATTAAAACTCTAGCAGCAGCATTTTGGAAAGAGTTTTTTGGATGTCCAGATAGATAATAAAGAATTACAGTAATCCAGTCTAGTCATGATAAATGCATGAATAATAATAAATGTCATCAATACTTTCTGTTTTGCTTTTTTCCGCCCTTGCATGTCCTGACGTGTTTGTGTGAGCATGCTCAATTATAAAGGAAATAATATATATTATGTCAGGATGAAGAAGACAAACATTAACATTAAAGGCTAATTATAGGCTTATTCTATGAAGGAATGCATATTGCCCGCCATAATTTTAAATGAAGATCATCTTAGGTTGAGAAATGATGGAGTTGTAGTCAATTTGGTCAAAAATTTAAAATAACATTTTAAGAAATCTTACATTATCTAACATTAAGGCTTTGAGTATGTAAGCTGTGGCATCCCAGTTATTACTTTCTAAAATTTTAATTTCAATTTGTTTCACGGTTCAAGACATACAGTGAGCGATAACAATCCAGATGCATGAATTAAGCTTGTGCAACAAAAATTTAAAAAAATACTGCTGTTTGTCTTTGAGTTGCTTTGAGTAAAATCTTTGCAGAAAAACCTTTAGAGCTCTAACTGGTGCTGATTTGTTGGACAGGACACAATGGGACTAACAGAAGAAATGAATGAATGCAGCCTAAAAGGAGGTGGAGGGGTCGGAGACTTAATGAGAAGCTAGTAAAAACAGAAAACTGAAGGGTGAGCACACACGACCACAGCTGTGAGTGTGTGTGCAGCTTCTGCCGTGTTTTGGTGCTTCGTTGCTTCTCACAGCCCCACTGGGAGCAGGAAATACAAATCCGGGGATTAATACCTGAGTGCGCCTGGCAACTGTGACGCAGAGCCGTCCCTGTGGGACAGAAACAGGAAGTGTTTAGATTAGGAGGAGGTCGATACAAAACGGCTGTGGTAATTATTCTGACACAACCGTAGATCAATTATATTGACGATATCCATTGATTCTTCTGAAAATCATTAATAGGCCTGTCATGATACATTTTGCTGTCTGATAATTTATCAGACATTATTGCGATAAACGATGATATTGTTTGGAGACCATTTTAAAGTAATATCATGATAATAGTGTAATAATTCAAGTACATCATCTCAAAGATCAATTAACTTAATTTCTAAAGAACTTTAACCTCTGGAGGTGAAAGTTTTTTAAATATCCAAAATGCACCACAGAGCGCCACAGGAGGTCGTTCCTACCAGTGGCCATCAAACTCTATAACTCCTCCCTGAACGTGAAATTAAATCATTTGTACATTTACTTTTACATTGATACATCTGTACATTTTATTGATTTTAGTCTTTATTTGATATTTAATTTACTGTATTTCACCCATGACACTCACCAAACGTGCAATGTACCAAACCTCATCTCTGTACACATTTTCTTAATATTTCTGTTATTGTTATTGTACATTGTTTATGTGTACATAAGTGTGCTTATTTTGTAATGCTGGGTGTTTATACTTATTTTATTCTAGTGTGCTTATTTCTCTCTTTTCACATTTCTCTGATCTGAACGGTTGCAACTGTAATACCTGTAATTTCCCTCAGGGATTCTGATTCTGATAAACAAATTAAACAACCAAAAATTAAAGCTAACCCTAACAAAAATTCACTTAAATAAAAATCAAACACAACAAAACAAAAACTAGTCAAAACTGTAAACAAAATTTCCCTTTAAAAATAACAGGACTATGAAGAAAACAAGCAGGCTAATGGAAATTATTGACCTCATTTTAATTTATCATTGGATTAATTGATTTATTGACAGGCTCACTCATTAACTCTTTTTTTTTTATTCCAAAACACAACATGAGCTCTGGATTTTAAGTCTGTGTTTTGTGTCAGAATCCATTTCCAGCTGTTATAATTTTTTTATCTGAAGTTCTCCAACATTTCAGTCAGCAGTGGGCGCCGATTAAATTTCCCACGTTTTGGTCTGAAAGGTAAATAAATGAAGGAAAGGGTGAGGCGACGGAGGAGCGTTTCATCCTATAATTCTGCTTAAAGCTCAGATGAACAGCTGATGCCCTGTGCACTTAATTCAATTACACACATTCCCAGCTGACCTATCTGTGTTTACGACTGTTGGACGTCTGGTTTTATGAGCACCGAAAAGGAAACCTGATGGAGAAAAATGGAAACCAATAAAAAATAATATAATAAATTTAGTTGAACGATATTCCTTCTGGTTCTGCCCTCTTTATCTTCACCCAGACTAAAAATAATGGACAGGATGCCAAATTACTGCAGCTGCGTGAACAGGTAGATGCTTCTTATTTCAGGTTAGAATGTGGCATACAACCAAGACACACAAACTTTAAGTTACTTAACAGGAAACAGAATGATTTATTTTTAGTTTTTTCTCAACACAAGGGCAGAAATCAGAGCGATTGTGTGATTGTGACGGCTTTACAGGAAGAAGCTAACTGTTTTCTCTGGGTCCACTGAATGTCAGGAATCTGTCTCCATTCATGCAGAGAAAACACAAAGTGTTACAAATACTTTCCCCTGAGAAGCTGTGAAGTAATGTTCCCGTGAACGAGTTGTCACTTCATTCTAATCAGACAAATCATTTTAACACGTTGCTCAGACAAAAGCCTGACGTTTTTATAAATTCTAAGAAATAAATTATGAAGAAAACATGAGTTATCCCTTCTCTGAATAAACAAAGAAATAAAACAGCTCCTTTTTTCCCCTCCGTTTCACTAATTTGAAGTAATTGAAATTCTCTGATTTGGCTGATTATAGTATTTTGCCAGCTATCTGTTAGGGCTGTGTATTGGCAAGAATTTGGCGATACGATACATATCATAACAGAGGGGTCACGATACGATATATCCCGATATATTGGGATACTGTAAGC